GAGACTGTATCTTGTTTGCCTCTTGTTACAATTGTAGAATACTCGGGTTTCCTATCGACTACTTGAAAAGGTCCTGAGTAAATAGGGCAAAGAGGCTTTTTATTGCATCATTTTGTAAGAAAACTTATTCACAGTTGTAAAGATCTTTTGGTGTGTAAATGTCTTTTGTTTGTGTTCTAGTGGGTGTGAAAACCAGATCACTCATTCGTTGTTTAAAGTTTTGTATGAGTAATGTGGTTGGCTGTAGATGATTTGTTTTGTTACAAAACTGTCCTGGTAATGTCAAGGATGACCTAAAAACCATTTTGGGTGCTGTACATCCCAAATCTTCCTTGATGATATTTCTGATAAATAACAAAACCAATGGTAGATTTTTATACCATGTCCTGAAATCATTATTGGCTGTTAGTGCTGCCTAAGTTGCCCATGAAAAAATTCAACTAAGCCATTGGCACAAGGATTTTATTTTTCTATTTTATATTTCTCTGGATACAACCTGCATGGTGATGCGTGTGTAGGTCCAGTTTTTGTGATATGATGTTTAGCAGTGCAATAAATTTTGTCTGTTTGTTTTAAAGGTATAATGAGAGTAGGAACATTTTTTAATCAATTCCTACAGTCCATTAGCAGTTTGTATTGAAGAACTAATTCCTGTTGACATGTAGAGTGAGTTGATTCCTTTTGCCTCTAACTTTGTGTTACTGTCAATAAGAGAGTATGTCATCATATTCACTGATATGTTGAAATGAGATTAAAAAAATCCGCTCCTTGAATTGATGTTTTCACTTGTGCTTGTGTGAAAATCCATAGAAAAGATTGTTGTAACCCCAAATTGAGTGTTGATAATGTCTGTTATGATGTTAATTTGGGGTTAGTAGAGACAAATGCCAAATAACATGTAACAATAAAAAGGGTTTTAATAGGTTGGTAAAAAGGTACAGAAATCGCCTGAGTAGTCAATAACTAGCTCAGCTAAGAACTTCTCTATCTATCTATCTTCCCCATGTCAACTGACATGCCACTATTTAAAGTCTTTGTTCACAGACGCAGACAAGTTCATCTTCAAGAGGGGTGGTAGGTTTCCGACACAACAATGTCTCTCCATATATTTTGATTTTTGGTCCATTTGCAGCCTGTAGTGTATGCTTTTGGTTAGGATAACACTGATTTGTGCAGCAGTATCAACTAAAAATAAATATCCGGTATTTCTGTCCCAGATGTAAAAGAGACAACATTCTTGCCCCCTTCCAGCAGCTAAGGTCATCTTTACTTACCTTGGTGATGTGTAGAAGTGTGGGTGGTCCTTGAATTGAAGTTGAATGGTTCTGTGCACTTCTTTGTCTCTTTTCCAAACTTATAATGATAGCAACAGGTATCATAGGTAAGTAATTCTCTGGAGGATGAGTTCAACTTGTCCTGACTTCTGCACAGTCAATAGGATCCCCTCAGATCAAAATCATGGTCAGTCTCTGATGCTTGAGGTATCTCCATGTGAAAACTCTGAGGGATACCAAGCAATTTTTACCTTTACCTTATCTGTACATGGGTAGGAAATTCTGTCAAAAGATAAAAAAAATCTGCTCCTAGAATTGGTGTTTTCACTTGCGCTTGTGTAAAAATCCATGGAAAAGCTTGTCGTAATCCCAAACTGAACATTAATGATGTCTTTCTGTATGTTTAGATTTTTGATCATGAATTCAAAATAGTCTTTAGTTGAGTTATAGTCTTTGATTAGTGGACCCACGGAAAAATTTGAAACTTAGAAAAGACTCTTGGTAATTGGTTTACAGTCAAATCTATGGCTGAAAAAAGGCTTTTATCATCAGTGAAGATTCACTGACCATCACTACTGTTTGGAGATGATTCATTTGAAGTTGCAGACACATGTTTCTTTCAGTATGTTCTGAGGGGAAGGTAAAAGTTATGTGGTCAAGTCTTCTCTTATGTTTGAACAACTTAGAGACAGTTGTCTCTCTGCTCATGAAAGTCGAAATCTGTGGATTGTTATAAGAATTTTTCCTGAATGTAAGCTCAAGAAAAATAGGATTTTAGTTTTCTCCTTTTGGGATACAAAAGGTAATTATCTCTCTTTGGTCAAGATAGTCATATGGGTCACATGATAGCCACTTAGTGACGTCATTTCATGCAGTGGTTAAAATAGTCAAACATTCAGTCAGATTACAGGAAGGAGTCAAACAAAGCAATCATTTGTTTGGCCTGGGCTGAGTCTAAATCTGCCTTCTCCAGCACATGAAACAGCTTACAACCACATGGTGCTGTTTCAATTTGGGAATAAATCTTCTCCAAATATAGAAAGAAACTATCTCTGGCTATCAGTCCTCAATTTGGGAAAACCCAAGACTTGCAGAATATGTCCTTGCCTGGGACATAGTAGATGAATCTGGACTGCTTGAACCTGAAGTCCTAAACGTAGCTTCTCCAGAAGCACAGAAGAATCTCCATATTATATGTAAGACCCTATCTTTTTGTTCTCCTTTCACTCTGCTTGTTGTGTAGATATATGTTATATTTTTCTCTGCGTGGGACACATGTAAATCTGTATATATCATTTTGTGTATGTTTTAGTGATATAAGTCTTTCTAAGAACAAAACATGTTTGTCATTCGTCTTCCTTTCAATCATTCCATACCATTCATGAAGTACAGTGTTATTATATCAAGGATATAATAATGCCTATTGTTGTGGCATGTTGATAGGAATGGATGGTTTGTAGATGTCTGTTTATGGCTGCATGAATAACATGACCACACAATTCATATTTGAAGTAAAATACCACAAAACATGAAATACAAGAAGGAACAAAAATGGTTTTAAAAACATAACATTTATATTTATTTGTGTATACTGATGTACATGCATAGAAGTTAAAGATATGTGGTGTTATGTCACTTAGATTGTGAATATTTTTATCTGAACTCACAAAAGTTGAATTAATTACAAAGCTGTAGTTTTAGAAGAATATTTCAAAGAGAAAAGTTCTTGTTGCTTGTTTAGAAATGTTCTATATGTTTGTAATGTAGCTTGGAAAAGTTTGTACATACATGCATGCGTGAATATGCTTTCAACATCTGACCATCTATGGTCGAGACGAGAATCCTTGGAACTACATCTTGCAGCAAGGAGAGAGAGAGAAGAGAGAAAAGAGAAAGCAGCAAGCTTGTGTCTGCTATTTATAGATAATGTAATCACGTGACAGTCTCACGGCAAATAGGTGAGAAACTTGATTTGGTCACACACTGGAAAAAATAGTTTTACATGGGTGGATTGCAATGCCCACTTGTGTGTTTAGTGAAGCTGATATTTCCTGAAAATATTTACTAACCTGAGTAGGCTCTCTGATCCACCTTTTGCAAAAAAATGTACAAAATTTAACGTTTATAAGAAAGTGGTAGCGGGATGCTAAACTATAGCAGAGGAAACATAAATAGGAGAATAAATGTTTCTTCCAATAGCTCTCTCCCATTATACTCTTGTAGTGCGACGCCTACATTTCTTCAATTTTGATTGGTCAATAAATACATACTAAAAATAATAGGACAATTTATCGATCGCATTTCACCATACTGAATTTTTTCCTACACTTTGCTCACAAACAAGTTTTGCTATAAAATCATTGATTGGTCTATTTTTCGTCCAATCAAGTATTTTTTGTGTACATTCAAAAATATATCCCGCGTTTGTGCTGGGAGCCACCCTAAGTAATATAAATATTGGATGCATTCCAAAAAACCAGTAGTAGTAGTTCCAGCACCACAGTCGAGTACATCCGGAGACAATAGATCTCAACTACTCACTTGTGTTATTCATCCTACTCACTCCGCACGTACATACACACAGATACAGAACTTTAATTGATACACCACCAGTTCTCTGTGGACATACTAAGTTGAATCAACTCTGTAAGTTGCAACACAACTGAACAATTTTCTAAAGAAATATTCTATTCCAACACTGAACTCTGAACTTTATACTCAGACAAATCTTCCTTAAAACATTTCCTTACAGTTAAAGGGAAGCTACTTTTTTCTCCCTATTCACTCATATTACAACTACTTTGTACTATTGTTGAATTTTAATATATATATTCATTCGTTAAAACAAATTGGTTCTTCATTGTTTTTCCTTGATATTTTAAATATTATGTATGAATGTTAAATGTCTTCTCTACACTCAGCCACATTTATCTATTTAACCACTTCAACATTGGTGACTACCTTCAACGTTCAGATTAACATTCTACACTCTGATTGGTCAAATATTTCACACAGTGGTGTTAATTTCTAACCAATAGACACTATGATTTAAATAGTGTGTTGCATTGTGGAATCTTTTGGTATGTTTGTAAATATTGTCTGTTAATGGGTAGAAAATAAATGTGGATATATTGGATAGTGTTGGAAATAGGTTTTATTTAGGAGTTACACATGACAACCTTGTGTCAAATTTGTCCTTATACAAACCTATTCATTGACTTATCCTTCTTGTCTCAAATTCTCTGATGCCTGTAGCAAGGGACTCTTTTTTGTGCCCTAAAAAGACTGTGCTGAATATCTTATTCAGCACAGTCTTTTTAGAGCACTAAAAAGAGTCCCTTGCTTTCTTTCTTTTTCTCTATAAGAAAAATGTTGTGTTCATAAAAGTTATATCAATAAATGATTTTTATTTCAAAAAAGTAAAAATTTTACAAAAATGCCAGCAGACTTTTCTCTATTATTTCACTTCCCTCCAACCAAGTCGTAACTTTTGCTTGGATAAGTTGCAAACATAGAGTTACCTGCCCTTAAACTTGATCAGTAAATATGCGTATAGTTAACGACTCGCTCACTAGGTGTCGCCTGTTGAATCTATTTCCTTTTTTTTTTTTTTCCTTTTGAAAGCACGTGTCCCTCGTTTACCTCGAAACGATTTTTTCGGCCGGTCTATATCATTCTCATTAATTCTTGTCTTTTCTTGGATATTTTCCCCCTCTTGCCTTAATCATGGCTGTGAATGTGAACGAGGAACAAATGAAGCTCGTTTTTGAGCTGGAAATGGAAATGATGGCTGATATGTACAATAGGTAAAATTTATTTTACCATCGTATTTCTTTTTCGGTGACTTGTCCTTTAAGGACTTTGGCTTTAACCTTTATTCATTTTAAACATTTCTAGCTAGATTTTATTTAATCAGTTCAACGCAATCTTGTTCAAATTCATTATTTGATTAGCTTTTATATTTTTAAACAAAAAATAATTTCATTTCCTACATTTTTTAATGACGCCGCAAATAAATATTGATTTAAAAAATATGCCTTTGAAACTTTTTAAATTTTAATCATAATCAACTGTTCCAAATACTTTTTTTCTTTTCTTTCTTACGACATATTTTCATGAAAATCTAAAAAAAAAGGTTTGAGCAAGTTAAAATTTTTATTTACCACTTTCTTTAAATCTTTCTTTTCGTGTTTATAAGAAATCCCCTAAAAAAAAGCAAACTTATTCCGTTTTTTTTTAAAATCCTATTAAAGTTGAATGGTTAGTTAACACTAACAGTAACACAGATCCAATTGTTACTTAACTTGTATATAATTGTATTCAAAAATTAAAAAAAAAAAACGGTTGTCCTTTTTAATCTTATCAAGTCCTGTCTTTGATATTAGACAAAAAATTAATCTCCTTTTCAACAGTGTGTGTTTTTTTTTTTTTTTTAAATCATTTCAAATTACCCCTTTTTTTCCTTCGATTTCTTAAAGTTCTTTTGTTTTTTTTTTCTTTATATTTGTCAGGGCGTGGGCGATCATGGTCATATTTCTTTACAATTTCCTGTATTTTCTTGCTAATTAGTTTATCACTTTTCGTAATTATTTACTTTTCTAAAAAAAAAAGGGACAAAAAAAATAATAAACAACTCGTCTATTCAGTAGATAGACTGACCGTTGATATGAGGATTCATGCTCTCTTGATTGCACGAGTTTTCCTTTCCCGTTCTGCTGTATGATAATTTGGTTCCGGTGACACTATCCTAGCAGCCGAGAACTGTGACCTTTTGACCCATCTCTAACTTAACAAAAATGACTTGTTAAAAAAAAAAAAAACCCTGTTCACATTTTAAATTTGTTTCTTTTCTTTTGTGTACAAAAAAAAAAAAATCAAAATGTTTGTTCGCTCACGATTTCTATAATTTTTTGATATAACTTCACTTATCGATGATTAATGAAAATGATCGTCTGAATAATTTTTTTTCCCACTTATATAAAGAATTATTGAAAAAGAACGTTAACATCACAACACTTGTTATATTTTTTACTTTATTATTTTCGACAAGGTTAAAAAAGGGAACTTGTTTTATTTTCGCCTCCAAAGAGTCATGACCTTTGTCGACTAAAAACTAAAAGAAATTTTATTTTATTTTGATACAATTATCAATAACTGAAATAAAGTTGGATTTTTTTTTTTTTTACTTCAAAAAATATTAATTAATTACACTTACTTAAGGTAAGGAGAATTTTGCAATGAATAATGTTGCATACAATTCTAATTGTATCAATTAATTAGACTGTAACCAGAAATAATTTTTTTCCCAACATTTTTTCATAAACATTCAAAATAACGAATATCTCTCTATCTATCTATCTATCTCTCTATCTCTCTATCTCTCTATCTCTCTATCTCTCTATCTCTCTATCTCTCTATCTATCTATCTCTCTATCTATATATCTCTATATCTATCTATCTCTCTATCTATCTATCTCTCATATCTATCTATCTCTATCTCATCTCTATCTCTCATCTATCTATCTATCTATCTATCTCATCTCTCTATCTATCTATCTCTCTCTATCTCTCTCTATCTCTCTATCTCTCTATCTCTCTCTATCTCTCTCTCTCTCTCTCTCTATCTCTCTCTCTCTCTCTATATATATATATATATATATATATATATATATATATAATTGAAATTTATAAAAGTTAATTGGGAGGGAACAGACAGTTGATTGATTGTAAAATTTTAAAAATTGAGCCCTGTACGAAAACCAAAACAAAATGATTTTTTTAAAATGTTAATATGTATATATAACCTGGAGTTCATTTCTGCATATATCCATTAAGAAGTGCAGAATTTTTTTTTTTTTTTTTTTTAAGAAATCATGTTATAAGAACCTGCTAAAAAGCATATTTGTTTTTGGCTGTTGTAGGGTAGGGGAATCAATTTACATACGAAATTGCTCCTCCCTATGAAAAATAATTGTTTCTGGTCCTATTTTACAATTCCATGAGGAATGTTGTAAATAAAATTATTTCAAATTTTTTTTCTTGTTTTCTTCAAAACGTTAATAATGGAGTAAGGTGGAGACATGCTATTAGACTTTTGCACCTCTTCAGAACAACATATATTTACTTCCGTCGCCTTAAAATTTGCATTATCACATTTGAATTGAACAGCTAGAAACTGTTAGGTTGTGTTTTTATAACTTAGAACAAATTCATTAATCAATAATTCATAATTGTGGGATATAAATCCGCGGTAATTTGATGCCAAAGATGCTCAGCTAAAAGTTTTGAATTTTTGATTCCACATAAACTCTGCAAAGTAATTATTCATCATATGAAAGATCTTTTTTTTTTTTTTTTTTTTTTTCTCCGTGAAAGCAAACTATTAAACTATTTGAGTAGTTTAGTAACAGACATTAGTATGAAAAATGCTCATTAGAATAGTGAATTTCATTAGAAACAAAGATTGCTGAACAGCTATGTAATATCGGTCCTCCTATATGGCATTGAATGTTTACAGGTAGAGAAGGCTTGAAGCGACAGAGATTTGATTCTAGAGAAAGATGCTAAGAATACCATGGACTGAACATGCAAGCAATAAAGAAGTTCTAAAGAAAATGGGAACAAGAAAGACATTCGTACTTGAAATCAGAAAGAGATGGTTGAAATTTCTGGGACATATGAGGAAGGAGAACTTGAAAATTTCACACTCACAGGACATGAAGTAGTTGAAGAGGGGAAACAGTGAGCAACTTACCTAATGAGTTTGTGTGAATTGATAGTCGAGCAGGGACAAGTAAGGATGGTAAAGAGTCAGACTTTTCTTAAAGATACAAGGGATAGGAAGTTGTGGAGAGCCATAATCACCCGAGAGTAAATAACAGCCTTCTGGTTAACAAGTTAAAATTTATCTATTGTGTTTCTATTTTTGGAGTGTTCACAAAAAAAATAATTGTCGGATGCCTGGTCCCAGGGATTACATTATGGCAGCACCCCACAACGTTACACTAAAGATTGTGGGATATCAACATCTGTACCTGCTGCATTGCACTAAAGATGGGATGGGAGTATCAATGCTAGCATGATAGTGGTTACAGTACAGTGCAATTTTTGGTTTCAGCGCATAGGTGCCCTACTTAAAAAAGACCATGTGCCATATCGCACTACAAGGGGTAAATAACAGTTTGTTGACTGCATTCAAGCAGACAAACTACTTTTTATCTCTCAATTATGGTTCTGTCTTCAGACAGTTTGCAAAGAGTAAATGAGGGGTGCCTGGTCCCTTGGATTCCAAACTTGTAACAGCACCTCCCCCATCACACCAAAGGGAGGTTGTCAGCAGAATTTCAATGATGGGAAAATTTTTGGTCTCTGCCGATGTATACCTGTCTAGTCTAAAAAGGTCACATCCCACCATCGTGGCGGAAGAGGGGTGTCAGTGAATAACATTTGTTAGCTGCCTGGGGAAATTGCCAGTTGTAAGTCACTTGTTCCAGTTAGACTAATCTTACAGTTGGGACTCTCATATCTCGGAAACAAAGCTTACAGCCATATCACATTGAAACACTGGTTCTTGTACAATCACTGAAGTTAAGCAAAGTCTAGCCTGGTCAGTATCTAGATGGGTGACTGCTTGGGAATACTGTACATTAGATAAGCAGCTAGTGTCATGGATAACTTGGAATTAGAAATCAGAGAGCTGAGTTATAACTTACTTTTGGGAAAAGTATGAACCCACCGCTTCTCTCCAACCTTCAGCTATGGGTTAGTTATTACGACTTGTGTCAGTAAATTGTTATCACCCCCAAAATTCTTACACTCTAAAAATATTTTCTGGCTTTAAATAACCTGCAAAAGGTTGATAAGCTGTAAAAACAAAGACAGTATATTGGAAGCAGATTGTATGTGATCTGTTTGTTAAGCCGTGTCTGCTAAATCCCCTTTTTAGGGGTTAGGGTTAGTAAAATGTTATGAGACACAGGGAAACAATATTGACTGGTATTATCTGGAATTTTTTCTGCTTGGTACTGTTTGAAAAAATAAAAATAAGTTATTTGCTTTAAGAACCTCTGGGCTTGAAAAAGATAGCAGTGGGATTATTGATGTGGTTATGTTTTAATTTGCATTAATCGGTCGGATGTAATCTATTTGTAATACCACCCCTTCTTCTCTTTCGGTCTTCTTTCTCTTCTTTGTGATTCCTACTTAGTATTTTCCACTCCCAAAGCTCTTCCTTGTTGTATTTTTGTTTTCATCATATTTGCTTTCACATAAGACATGTTTTCTTTTTCTTTAAAAATGTACCTAAAAACCTTCCCTGCACCGAATACAACTGTATTATAGATGGGGAGGCGACCGAGTACTGTACTGGTAGGCTAGGTTGTCGTATGAGCCTAAGTCCACTAGGCATAAAAATTGTTACAGGAAATCAAATATTGAAAACAAATCAAATTATTATAGTAAATGGTATTACTAATGATGGTGTTATCATGTGTGTTATGGTGTTAGGATATATGTTTTTGCTTTGTCTGCATGTACTGTAATTATCTATAAGAATTCATTCACATTTATTTAGGTATATTCACAAAAAAGAGAAAAAAAAATGATGCCTAAGGTTTAAAATGAACATTTTAAAAATGAAAAATATTTCTTGAATCTTTTAGTTTTAATTTCAAGCTAATTGATTAAATTTAATATTTTCAATGAGCAAAATACTTTGTTGTATTTCAAAAGCAAATTTAAATTGACTGAAAGGAGCTTTTTTTTTTTGTTTTCTTTTTTTTATTTTATTGTTATATTTTGTGCTAAT